TTGTTTTACCCATAAACAAATCATACAGTAAATGAATAAAGGCAAGATACACACATAATTCCACCTGTCAATCACTTTTTCTGCGGGACTCGTGAATAGGCAGTGATCTGTGTCGTTATAATGGCGTCGGTAATAAAAAACCGCACAACCAACAGGAACCAGCCAACAGTATCTGAGGTGTTCGCTAAAATGACTAAGTACAAGTGAGTGAAAGATTGAAGCAGTCCTCTGACTGCCTGGACCTGCTGTCTCGAGCGCATGGCTGTGTGTGCGTCTGTGTGTGTGTGGTCACGTGATGTGCATTTTCAGAGGTAGAGAGGAAGGAGGGCTGCTCAGAAATGCTACACGCCACTGTGGATGTCAAATCGTTGTCGTTCTAAAATGCCATTTAAAAACAAAGACAGTGTAAACAGGGCCTGAGTGTGTACTTTTCGCCAGCGGATTTGCAACAGGGGCGGGCGGAGGATCGCGATGCAGAGCTTGCAAAACTGTGTGTTTTTTTTGTCGACAACACGAACGTTGTCAACATAACTCACTGGAAATCCAAAATGCTTCCACACCGGCGACTTCATTGAAAGAGGAGAGGGTTTAAGCTCTGTCGACGGGTCTCCTGCGTCTGCAGTTCAACAAGCACTTCAACAAGCCTGTTTTTTTCCCGCTTGGCAAGCCAAGCTGACGTGACATGGGGTGTGGCAGCATCGACGATTCTATTTTTTGATTCGATAATTGAAATTGAGCATAAATTCATTAAAAATCGATTAAAAATCGAAATCGTGACACCCCTAGTACTTTGTTTTTGAAGCATTAAGTATTTCTGATCTTCTTCCCTCTTGATCATTTATTCAGCTTCAATCATCGCCTACTTTGTTCACTCTAACGTTTAAGGATCTCAGACTGGCTAGAGCAGACTCTAAATCATCAGTCCTCATCTTGCTGGATTTGTCAGCTGCTTTTGACACTGTAATCCACCAGATCCTGCTATCTACGGTCGAGTCACTGGGCGTTGCAGGCACGGTTATACAATGGTTCAGATCTCAGCTCTCTGACAGGTCATTCAGGGTGTCTTGGAGGGGAGAGGTGTCCAACCTACAGCATCTAAACACTGGGGTACCTCAAGGCTCTGTTCTTGGGCCACTTCTCTTCTCCATCTACACATCTCTAGGATCAGTCATCCAGAGACATGGATTCTCCTACCACTGCTATGCTGATGATACCCAGCTATACCTCTCTTTTCATCCTGATGATCCCTCAGTTCCGGCTCGCATCTCAGCCTGCCTGTCAGACATTTCACACTGGATGAAAGATCATCATCTTCAGCTGAACCTCGCGAAAATGGAAATGCTTGTAGTTTCTGCCAACCCGACTCTACACCATAACTTCTCAATCCAGATAAACTGGGCAAACATTACTGCATCCAGAATAATGAAAAGCCTTGGATTAACGATTGATGACCAACTAAACTTCTCTGACCACATCTCTAGAACTGCTCGATCGTGCAGATTCACACTCTATAACATCAGAAAGGTCCGACCCTTCCTATCTGAACATGCAGCTCAACTCCTTGTTCAAGCTCTTGTTCTCTCCAGACTGGACTATTGCAACTCTCTACTAGCCGGGCTTCCAGCTAACTCTATCAAACCTCTTCAGCTGCTTCAGAACGCAGCAGCACGAGTGGTCTTTAATGAAGCTAAAAGAGCACATGTCACTCCGCTGCTCATCCGTTTGCACTGGCTGCCAGTTGCTGCTCACATCAAATTCAAAGCTCTGATGTTTGCCTACAAAGCGACTTCTGGCTTTGCTCCTTCTTATCTGCACTCACTTCTGCAGATGTATGTGCCCTCCAGAAACTTGCGTTCTGTGAATGAACGTCGCCTCGTGGTTCCATCCCAAAGAGGGAAGAAATCACTTTCCCCAACTCTCGCGCTCAATCTGCCCAGTTGGTGGAATGAACTCCCGAACTGCATCAGAACAGCAGAGTCACTCGCTGTCTTCAAGAAACCACTAAACACTCAACTATTTAGTCTCCACTTCCCTTCCTAATCTGCAATTGCCTCTCTGACTCCTCCACTAACTACAACAAAATAAATAAATAAAATAATAATAATAATAATGACTAATGTTTTGCTTTTTACACTTTACAGACCTGAAACTCGCCTACAGCACTTGTTCATTGTTGCTCTTGGTTGTGTAAATTGCTTCCTTGTCCTCATTTGTAAGTCGCTTTGGATAAAAGCATCTGCTAAATGGCTAAATGTAAATGCAAGCCCTCTGCATGATTCTACATTAATAATAGCTTCAGTTTACTGTGAATTAAACATTTGTTGTGCATCATTCCAGTTTAAGACAGATGAATGGAAAACAGCAGCGAGTCTCAATCGATCAGCAGAAAGTCTAGTGATGTGATCTGTAAAGCTCTGTGTGCCTCTGTGTGTGAATGTATATGTGTGCGTGTGCATGCGTGTGTGACCTTCTCCTGAAAGACGACGGCCGTCTCGAGTCCCGGCATGATGTTGAGCAGGAGTCGGCAGGCTGCAGTGTTCAGCGGCACCTCACGGCTGCTCATCACATACGAGTTCACCAGCTACAACAACACAACACACACCGTAAAACAAACCGCAAGCCTGTTCTCCACACATGGATTACTCATTTAGATGGATTTGATTATTGACACAATGCAGAATAGTGTCATGATGTATATCATCACCTCAGAATTACAAGCTTATATCTGACATTTTAGTCAAAATTGAGTATTTTAACTCTGCTGTTATTTGGGGATTTCCACCTGGATTTTGCCTACCTAAATTTAAAAGCTTCCCAAATCCACATGCACAGGTGTAAATGCAAAAATTTGGTATTATTTGGTAAAAATTGGGTATTTTGTTATAAAAATATATTTTTATAAAGGTATAAAAGTTCTGTGTGGTCTAGCATGCTGTAATTAATGTTGGTGGTTCCTGCACATGTCTGTAATCATAGGAAAAAAGAAAAATGTCTCCACTATAATCTATGCAGAAGTTATTGCATTCCAACTGATGAGAGGTGCTGTACAAGCCACAGGGAGCGATCATTGCTTTCATATTTCACTATTCTTTAGTTTGATCAAACATAATTCACTGTGTTTGGAGCACGTAAGACATATAAAAGCATTACTGATGCACATCAGCTCAAAAACAGAGGAGAATGGCCCTGAAGCGCACAGCATAAGGTAAAAGATGACAGCTGTCTGTGCTATCTGGGGCTGCCTATTGATCCTAAATGTATTGTTTTCATTTATTGATCATTTGCTCCGTGAGCTGCCGGAGCTAGCACAGATAGCCAAACAAGCTACATCATCTTTTACCTTAGGTTGTCCTCTGCAAAATGAGTCCATTTTCAGCGTTTTCTGAGGAAGTGTGCGTCAGTAAATCCCTGCTGTGTCTTGTAAGTGCCAAACGCAACAAATTAGGGTCATAATATTCCAAAATTCTCGAATATATGATAGCTTCGACCTATCCAGATGTATTACATATCTCAGCTTTACGCTGATGTATCGCGAGCCTTGATCAGCCAATCAGTGACTGAGATATTGCATGACAAACAGGAAGAGGGGTTTCCAAAACAGAATGTGTAAAAGTCACAGATCAGAAGCAAAAAAATTTGTGATTTCCCACCCTTCGGTTGAACTAACATAATTAATGCATATTACATAATAAAAACAAAATTCTTTTTTCTAGTGTCTCCTGGCAAATGCTGGTAACAATTAAAGCAATCTGCAGTTTGATGGAGCATACAGGGCCTGAGTTATACACTTTCTAAATCAGGCTTTAGAACAAAAAAAAATTAAAAGCGGTTTGTGTTGAGGTGGTTCATCATAGGACAGACAACATATATAATAATATTTATCACTTTCAGCAGTTCTTTTTGTAATTTCAAAGGGTTTTCTGTAAAATGACATTGAGATATTGCACTAATTATACTGTTTGAGGCTATGGGGAGACTTCAAAAATAGGTAAGCGGAAATAAAAATAAAAAAATGGCATTTTTCCTCCTTGCAGTTGGAATTATTCTCACATAAATTATTATAAAGAAAAAAAATGTGTTTGCTGACACCTGCTGGAAAGAAATAAAATTGTTTCCAGGGTGCTAGAACTCTTCAATAGTGAGTTGCACATTTCCAAACTTCAGTTTATTAAAAAAAAAAGCACCTTTTTTTGTGTGTTTATTATAACACAGACAATATATACAACAATTGTTTTCAATTTCAACTCTATTTTATGAAATTTCAAAGGGTTTCCTTTTAAATGATACCAAACTTTTGTATTTACACCACTGCATGTGGGTATGGGAAGCTTTTTAATTCGGAAGGCCAAATTCAGGCGGAATTACCCCAAATAGCCCCAGAGCTTAACTGGTTAAGCTGTTTACATTTTAAAGGGTCACGAAACACCAAAACACATTTTTTGAGCTGTTGACAGTGGTATATGTGTCCCACACTGCTAAAAACACTATCAGGACACCTATATTTCACTAAAAAGTGTAAATTGTTTGTTTTTGTGTTATTTCAAGCAAATTGGTACTTCCGGTTTGAAACTAATTTTTGAAGCTGCGTCACGGTCATGAGATAATAGCGTGTATTCCAGCGTGCAGACTGGGCGTCTGTGCCAGAGTGTGTCTTATTACGTCTTACAGTGTGATGCATTAATGCATGAGTAAAGCTTGGTTCAAACCAATCAGCGCGCTCTATTGTGCAACTTCATTAATATTCATTACTGTCACAGTGTTTAGACGACAGAGACGCCACGTTGTGTTGGCAAAACAAGCGTGAAGTGTTGCTTTTATAGTTTGCTGCAGTGAAGTTTTGTTTTCATTTTCTCTCTGTGAGAGCGCAGCTGGAGTCACGTGTGGATTAACAGTGTACGCGACGCTCGACAACAATAACTTACGTGTCTAAGGAGGATTATTGTTTACCTGAGAGCTGTTCTCATCTGCAAACGCTGAGATCCGGATTCGCTGCTCGTCTCCTCTTAATAAAGACGCGGCTCTAGTTGCTGGTGATTGTCCTGTCTCTACAGATTTGGTAAGTGAGTGACCAGTGCTCTTTGTTTATTCAGTTTGTTCGTATCGAACTAACTATTACACCGAGTGTAAACATGTTAGCACCACAACCAAACTTTAATCTCGTGTAGGGTTTTTACCGCATTTAGTGACCGAAATAACACACGCGACTTTCTGACGCTACCTGCCGTGTGCATCTAAGTTTCCGGGAAATGCAGAGGGTTTTTTTTTCTCTCATTCGTCATGCGGTATCAAACATTGCATGAAAAATACACGCTTAGAGCAGTTCCTCCAATCAAATATCTCGTTTGTCGCGAGGGACATGAATGAATTCCCTGAATGAAAGAGCCAAACTGCAGTTAAAGTCCAGCATTTAATAATTTGGCAAATAATTCGACTACAGATGTCCATGTAGGTTAAACACCATCACTTTCTACTGTGTGTGTGAAAACACCCTGCTGAAATGACGGAGTTTCATGACCCTTTAAGACTTTTTATTCACAAAAACTAATGCTGCACACACACTGTTTGCTATACGGAATGCAAAATCTTTAAAGCTCAATATCACTCAATATCATATGAAGGTGATTGTTATATACATCGGTTTATAACACATCATTTTAATTGTGCGTATTTAAATATGCTGGTAGCTATGGTGTGTGTGTGTGTGTGTGTGTGTGTTTTCCTTCGCTGTTACTATGCCAATAGTTTTCATTTGTTCAGTTTAATTAATGTAAACATCAGAAATGCTTTGGCAACACACGTGTGTCAATAGAGGTAAAGTAGGTTTTATATTGGCACATTCGTTCATTTAGCAGACTCTATATTGTTCAGCATGTTACTTTGAATATTCAATCGGAATTAGCATGCCAGCATGACTTGTAATCAACATCAACTGACTGTGAACTATGCTGTACTTTGATCGTCATTGGCTGCCAATATGATTTCCCTATTTAGAATTTGTAAAGAATACTTTTCTGACATAATAATATTAAGGAGAATGTCTAAATATCCCAATATAACACTAACTTTACCACTATCATCTAACATTGGTCATGCCATGTGTGTCAGAGAAAAACATAGACATTGCATTGATGATTATTATATTACACTCGCATACATATACATATATACACATACATATATATATATAAACACGTGGTAAAAACGCTAAATGCT